AATAATCAGCACAAGAAAGTGAAACATTCTATGCTTTTGTTAGAGAACATCTTCCTCTTCTGCTGCTGCAATCACACCTCAGCACTCATCAATTCTTTTTCAGACCGTGTTATAGAGTAACAAACCACTCATATGTCCTCGTAGAGTAGGTTTTGAATTCGGACACAACAAGATGAATACACTGCCTTAACCGACTGACCTAAACTCCCCGCCTTAAGTTGCATTTCATCTTCATAACAATACAAGATTATAATGAACAATGAGGGATAAAATCCTCGGTGACTTTTCATTAGGAAGATAATTCAAAATTACATCGCGGTAACTTACTATGAAGATGACCGTTACACTTACATTATCGGTATATTTTCAGGACAACCCTACAAGGATGACGATTCTGGATCTCCTTCTAAAGGTTTGAAGGGAATTTTACATTTCCACACCAGCTAATAAAAGAGAGACCTAAACAACAAATCACCTTACACTATGTTACAGGGACAGCGAGCTTCCATCTCCCAAGAAATCTAATGTACACAGGGAAAACTCGACTCTAGTAAAACTGTTTCGGAGGAAAAACTTTCAGGTGGACCTCTTGAATATGAACATTTCCGGAAACCATCTCGGCGAAGGACATGCAACACTAGCCCAAGTTTTTGCCATCCCTTGCTTTGTGATTCCATGATTCTTTCCCGAAAACCTCTTCAATCATGTTGCTAGTTGGCAAGAAGTCAACCTTGTTTTTAGGGCAAGTCATATACCCAGCATCCCAGATTTTGGCATCACAAGGCTCCAAGACAAATTCGTGGTCACCGCGGTTAAAACTACCCGACCAATGATTCACGTTCTCAGACTTCCGCTGACTCTCTTGCGAAGCAGCCACGGCTGCATCAAAGGACGTGCATGAATCATCTTGGACTTCTTGATCTCCCTTTTCATCCCAGGAAATCTTATCCTGAAGCTGAGCTATGGGACAGGAACTGCAGTTGTCAACCAACCCGTAGCATCTATCTAAAATTTGCTCAGGTCCCCGCCCAAACATATCCACATCAACATTTTCATCACAAGTTTCATCCGTATCGTCCTCATCGAGCACTTCCAAATCATCCTTCCAATTTCGCTTATAACCAGGGACACGTCTACCTTCAGGAGACTCAACCACCGAGTCCTCATCCTCTGTCACAGAGGGTTGATTTTCACCGTAATCATTACTCCCCTGCCATTCATCACTGTCACTATCAATATTCATTGGGTCATACCTGTTCTGCTCTGCCCTCTTCCTAAGCATAAAGACATTGAAATAGTAACTGACAATCTCCTTTTTCGTCCTGGAGGGGAAGACAGTTGAAAGTTTGTCCCAGAAATTCTTGCCCAAAGATGTTGGATTTGAGAAGACAACCCGGTGGAATAGTTGTTCCTCTTCTTCACTCCAAGTTTGTGCCACTTGCTCTCCCATGTCATTAAATCCTAGCTCCTCAAATCTCTTTGGCCCGATGGTCTTTACAAGTTTCTCTCTTGCTTCCAAAATGTGCTGCCTGACACATCTAACAGACTCTCCATCTTCACAGCTGCAATCAATTCTGCCCTTTCCAACTATGCAACCCGTGTCAGTAAATAACTCAGTATCAGAATCAGGCATTGGAATTACACAAGTCCCCATTAGCCGTTTCTCATCCTCAAGGTCAAAATTATTATGGGCTCCTTGTGCACCCCACAGTGGAACATCAGCTTGATGCTCTGGTCCAATGGAGGCAGACTTCCGAGGAGGGTGATCCAAAAGAACAGAATAAATATCCTCAAATTGAGTCAAGGTCCTTATTGAACGTTCATGATTGAAGTACTCAGGGAAAAAGGACCCATGAAATGATGCTTCAAACAGAGAATCTTCTCCACTATTGCTGCTAGTGGTCCATGAGGATATGGTAAAGCTTCTAGGTGCGCTGGTTTCAACATCCTCACCGCCTTTTGGAAGACCAGAAAATTTGTCATCAGAAATCTCCTCTTCACTTCTATTATTGTCTTTTGCACATCCATTCTCTACCAATCAAACATCAAACTTTTTTCAAGAGTTCAAACCAAAAAGTAAACTGGAAACAGCAGCATCACATTAGGCTGTTTTTATGTGACCATATTAGTTACAGACAAAATTGAGAACGAAGTGAAAAATGATTTGACTGAGTTTGACAATTAAAAATCCATCGAATTAGAAAAACTCATGAACATTGACAGGGCCGGACAAGGTGGACTCAGAAACAGACACATTCAGACTATCCGACGCATGCACAAACGAGAAAACATGAAAACAATTTTATCCCTCTTCCAGAGGTTCCACATAATACTTTTTAGAAATCACAGACCCTCACCTAAAGTCTCTGGTTCCTCAGAAACATCTCCAGGAAAAACAGATTCTGAGAAAGAAACTAGCTCTTTATTATGTCCCACTTGTCTTGGGTGCTTGAAAGAAACAAATATTTCCTCATCATCAAGTGATCGTTTCTGCACCATATTAAACTGCACAAAAGAAATAACAAACGCTTAGATCAAATCATAAAATGCAAAAGAAATGCCTAAAAGCATTTTACACCTACGCTTCTAAGTATCCAGAGGGAAGCACCAAGAGACATTTTTATTACATACACACACCTAAAATTAATCAAGCACAAATGGTCTTCCAACAATTGCATGATTCTATCACTCGGATAGCAGAGGCGGGCACCACAACACAAGTTTCATTACAATGAAAACAAGCAAGACCTCATCCAAAACATATCAAATACCATTACAACCACAAGTTCATGTTATATCAACTCGCTTCGATTCACATAAACGCATCCTTAACAGTTTGAAGCAATTACGCACGTAAATTAAGCACTTCCGAAACAAAGCAAACACAAACAGATACCTCAAACACGGACATTTCCCGCTAAAAATGGTTACTTCTGAAAGTCATTTATTTCCCTAACAATGACACTATAGTTCCCTCTGTCAGTTACACCATATATGACTACAAGTCCATCAAAATTTTGACTTTCCGTAAGAAAATTACAACTATATTTGATATCCTTAAAGGGCGTTGTGGGGCCAATTATGTAAGACCCTCCACACAAAAGAGACACCACTGATGGTAAAGGAGGGCAATTTGGTAAATATGACCTGCGGCTTTATTTCTAATCAAAAGGGTGCCCCTTTTAGCTAAAAAACAGGGTGCCCATATCACATCACAAAATTGAGCAAGAAAAGAAATGAACTTTTTAATTTATTTAGCATGCAAAAACTAACAATTTCATCATAAATAAACAAAAGAGCTCGGTTTATACCTCAGAGAAAAGTCTTCGAGATATGAAGCTGAGGGCTGAATTGGAAGATAGGAGCTTTAGATTTGACGCACCCAAAGGGAAAAACCGAGCTTAATCGAATCAACCTGACTTTTCCCCAACCTAATTTAACTAAACCACGAAAAGCCCCAAATTTTTGAAATCCCTAACCCTAGATCTTGAATTCTGTACGAAATCCCAGAAATTGTACCCAGATCTACCAACAAATACAGCTGATGAGCTATAAAAGAACCTCAAAGGACTGTAGATATACGGATCGAAACCCAGAAATAAAAAAACCTAAACGCGAAAAGAATTCAAAATAATTTACAGAATCGGAAAAAGTTACAGCGGAAGGCGAAAAAATCGCTGATCCGATAAACCTTTGTGTCAGATCTACAAACGAAGAAGAAGATCGAATATTTTCTGAAACCCTAACCCTAGAATCGGATTGGGAACACGGCTGAAGACAAAACCGGGATCGATCGAGAGCCGAGAGGACGAATTGACCGAATCTGAAATCAATTTCAGGATCGGGACAAAAAACGGAGATGGAATCGAGGCGAAGAAATGATCGAGATCGACAAAAGAGGCGGCGATTGAAGAAAAGGGGCGACGTAGGGTTCGGCTTTTTTGTAAGTGGCTTGTCCGAGAAGGGAAATACCGAAAAGAGACAAGTATGTGATCGTAATTACGGAGAATACCCCTCGTGATGCGGGCAGGGAGTAGCGATAGGGATGAGGTATATGAAGGGTCGCGCGGTGATTTGGATTTTTTCAACCGCCGCTGGGAGAGCGACACGTGGCGTGTTGTTAGAGGAAAGTGGCAGGTGGACAACTAAGCTAGAGATTTGTCTCTTACTTTTTTGGGTTGCAAAATCGGGAGGATTTGATTGGTGCTTTGAATGCAATTTCCTAAAGTGACCCAAGAACTTTTGCTTTTCAATGAAATTAATACAATTATGGGAATGAATGTGATGTGATTTTGTCTTTTAGAAAAACAAAAGGATGTTTGAAATTTTAAATACAAGATTAGGTTTGAGATTTTAGTTGATTAATTGTGGATTTTATTTTACCATTCACACAAATGTTCAAAAGTGGTTTGTTCACGTTATTAGTTGGTTTAACGGCACACAGTTTTCACTTTGCTCAACTCATACGGATATTAGGATGATTGTAGTGAGATTGATACCAAGTTTTTTATTTTTGTGGTTTTGTTGAAAATGAATACTACGAACCTTCCATTGACTAATAAGTAAGTAGGGGTAATCACCGTATAACTAATTAGTTTTATGATAAAACTTCAACTTTGTTCATGATATCTGAGCAGGTTGTCCTAATTATGGAGTCAAACAGTCGCGCCCCACATTAACCCGTTGTGCTCTACATGTGTTAAACATGAAATCCGTCTCATTTTTCCGGTTTTTTTTTGTTCAACAAAAATCGAACCAAAAAAATTTGGTTTTTTCTATTTTTGCCGAAAATGTAGGCTTCTATTTGCTGGTAGTTTTTGTTTGTAAATTTGCAGATGGAGCTTTACAGCAATAGTGGAAAGCATGATGCCTATATACTCTGTTGCAGATTGATCTTCAACGATCCCCACCTAAAAATTTAACCTACTAACACCATCGTTTGTCAAAAATAAAAAAAATAAAAAATTAGATTCATCGAAATACACTTTCATTAAATGGAATTGATAATGTAAATATATCGATGTATTAAAAATTAATAAGAAATTGGATTCGATGTTCTCATTATATTCACTTTTCCATATTGTATCAACAGATGTAACATTTTACAGTTCAAATGTGTAAGTGTAACCAAACCCTTTCATATACAAGCTTGCCAAAGACTGTCAAGCACTGAAGAAAATAGTATCCAAGAGTGATCAGAAATAACAAGGTCGTTCTAACGTTGTCCATCCGAAGCTACAAGAATTGGTCATCTGAATTTACAGCAGCGAAGAAACCACCCCTCATTCGCATTTGAATGGCTTTGACTCTCGTTAGCATCTGTCATCCGATCGGTTACAAAAAAGAAGTTAAATGCAAGTCGTTATAGTAAGCAAGAAAAAATATGTCGAACGGACATGCTATTATAAACACAAAACTACACGAAAAGAGGTCTTGAAGTTAGGGAAGTCGAAGACTAACAGACATGAAAATCTCGCTTTTCAACACATAACTATCAATTTGTTTTACGATAGCACCAGATAGTAGTTTTTCCAGTCAATTAGTCACACGGACAGCCATCACATGAACAACACAATGAGGACAGTAAAAGCTAATGTGTACGGGGGAATGATGAGCAATTTAGCTTGAACAAGCTTATGTTGTCTGAAAAATGTCAATTTTTATTTAAAAAATCAGCGTACTAGGCAAAATCAGAGGAGCAGTAATGAGAGGGCCACAACCATGAATCTAAACCCGCCCAACAAATAACTCCTCTCTTTTTGGCCGTACAAAAATAGAACTTCATTGAGATTTCGGAGCAGAACTTACTGTTTCAGGAATGTCATTGCCATACGCTCAAAGATCAACGCCCTCATCAAGGCCTTTCGAACTGATCATCACATTTGAGTCAATTTGTTTGTCGAACTTCTTCTTCCTCCTCGCTTCAAACTCTTGGAATCCTTCCATCTAGATTTTTATCACATGGTAAATGTTCAAATATATTGCTGGAAAAAAAAGGGATATAAGTAAAACACCAAATTGGAAAATGTGGCATACCTGCTGAAACTGATCCATGGAAATAGGGTTTCCATGAAGGGAAATATTCTGCAGCGCTTTACAGTCTTTCAACAGCTTAGTGGGTATCTGTCGAACAAGGAATACTCCAACTTGTCAATCTTCTATGTAGTTAAGATTAAGAAAGTCAAATGAAACTTGTGATGAGTAAAAACTGTACCTGTTTCACATTATTATTGTCCAAGCAAAGTGACTTTACGTGGATAAGGTTGCAAACTGATTCAGGAAGTTCTTCAATTGAATTATCTGAAAAGCAATCCAGAATCATGAAGCTGTGAGTGGTATAATAAATTTACAGCCATATAACCACATAGAGAAGGAAAACAGTCACATATAAAACATACATCGGTTAGGAGTATAACAGAAAAGTTTAAACATACCATTTGCTTGTAATTCTTCCAGAGAGAAGCAACTTCCTATGGATTCTGGAAGAGACTTTAATTTGTTCTTCGATAAATTTAAAAGTTTTAACTGCATCAAACAATCCATTTTTAGATCCTGGATTTTCACAAGGAATGCTAAATGTTTGATGTTCAAAAAAAGTAAAAGCGGAATTCAGATTCTCATTGATGGATTTTCCAATGTTTTCGTTAGTTCCAAATTGCAAAATCAAAATGCTGTTGACAATTAACTCAGACATAAAATTCCTAATTGCAGGAACAGCAAAACAGACAATCAGGTGGAAAATCTCAAAGCACTTACATTCCGCAAGCTTCCAATAGTCTCAGGCAATGACTCTAATGAATTCCCAGAGATAGATAACTGCTCAAGTCTGACCAACTGTCCCACTAGAAATAGGAAACATACAACTTGTTAGTTAGACGTCCCATGATGAAGTATTTGAAAGAAACAATGGTCCCATGCAGTTGAAGAAAAAATGGTCCCATACAATATCTTACTTAGAGAAGAGAATTACATTCATCAGGCAAGGTAGTAACTCGATTTCCATCAAGTGTCATAACTTTTAGGGACACTAGTTTTGCCAAATTTATCGGCAGTCGGTCAATGAGGTTATGAGCTAATATCTGAAAAATAGAGCAAATGGAATTCAACTGTCAACTGATCATCTGAGCGTATGATTGAACAATGTACATTTATATTAAACAAATTGGCTCACGTAGGGATTACTTAATTCATGCGAACTAGTTTAGCTATTTGTTCATAAAAATAAAATAAAAAGCTTAATGGTTTCTTGTGGAAAAACAACTTTTTATTTTCATATATTCTGAATCGAATAATCTATGCAGTTCATTGACAAATCTGAAAGCACAGAATCCCACCCAACAGTCAGCTCGTGATAGTAACCTTCAATAAAAGGACCACCATTTTCATCAAAAAAATTTGTGCACTATCTATTTATCCTTATCTGTTCAATAGAGATGGGAAAAGTTGAAGTCTTAAAAAATTTATATACGACAAATTGCTCGTAGAGCATGAATTTAGGAATGAGAGAAACAAGTACATGTACAAAAGACAAAAATACATGATTCTTACCAGTCGCTGCAGGTTTGCTAATTTGCTGATCTCCACAGGAATGTCAACTGCACGCAGAATACGAGAAGTAAACTAGATGTTCAAATATGCTTTAAGTTCTGAAAATATCGAAACCTTTAACACCAAGCCACGAAAACAACCATTATCGTTAAGGGTTAATTCAATGAAGCTTTTTGTTAAAGATAGTTAAGTGGAAATCAGATGCCTCCTAGAAAAGACTGCATCGTAAAAGTACTTAATCATGCCTCACGGAGAATAGAACATTACCTATTTTATTGTGTGTTAGATCAAGAGTACGTATGGACTTGTCCAGGTCAAGAACTTCATCTGGAAATGTCTGTTCCAGAGAAAGTAACCAATCAGTACATTGCCTCGAATGCACGCACACACATGATAGAAAGTAACCAATCAGTACATCACCAGCTTTGCAGTGCTTTGTGTTTATTGTCTAAAATGCATAGATAGAACCCGAAACTATGCGTTTATGCACGATACAGTATATATCACATTGTCAAATACTGCTTGACTCGCTAAACCGAAAGACTAAAGAGAAACCATGTCAGATACTTAAACTGAATACACCAACAACACAAATAGAAAACATCTCCATGTAAACTTGGAGCTCTCTTTCGACTTCAATCAACATTCGAACAAGAACATATTCGAAACACCTCAATCAACAGCACCCCACAAGAAAAGATTTTAACTTTATCGCAATTTCCGTATTCAATTTGTAATCACAAAACCACAAATGGAAAATGCAAATTATCAAATGAAGCAACTTCATCAAAATTAATCAATTCACTCCACCCACCTCCCCAACATTTCACACCGAATAATTCAAATTACAACAATTATAAAAATTAAAAAAAATAACCACAAATTCAATCACGCATCCCAATAATACAACCAATGTACGCGCGCGCGCTCACACACACACACACATATATATATATATATATATATATATATATATATATATAGGCAGAAATTGAGAGAGAAATTGCCTTCAATTTGGAATCACGGAGGCCAACAATGCCGGTGGATCGCCACCGGGCGGCCCGACTTGCTTTCGAATCCACGTTTTTGCTTGTATTGCACCCATCTCGCCACCACCAAATTAATCTCACAAAAAATTAATAAAAAAAATTTTCAATAAATCGATTTGTATATAAATATATATATGTATGTATGTATATAAATTTTTAGGTTTCCCCTCTGCACGGAAAGAAATGAGATTTGTGCAGAGAGGTTTAGGTGGTGGTCAAGCTCCCGAAAGCTCCGAAGCTATTGAGGCCAAGAAGATGAAGAAGAAGATGAAGAAGAAGTCGTCGTTTTCAACGACTTGTTGTACCTTTTTCTGGCATCGAAAAACCGTGTCTTTTACCCACGTGGCTTACGCTTATTGGGTTTTCCATGGGTTAGTGTGGTTGTTACTACAGGTGATCAGGACTTTTGATTAATGATAAAATGGAATTTAATAATTTAATTTCGTTCTTTGGAATTTTTGGCGCTTTTGAGGCGGACTTCGCGCGAGTTTTTAAACGGGCGTTGGATCAAACTTTTCGGGTCGGCCCAAATTTGGATCATGGGCTTTGGCTAAAATATGCAAATGTGTTAATTCCTTCTTGTATAAAGTGTTAATTACTTCACGTGCAAATAAGTGTTAATTACTTCACGTGCGAATCCCCGCATAGCGTTCTTATATAAAGTCCATCCCCTTCCCTGCCAAGCAAACAAACGCCGGAAATTCTTTGTTTAAATCGTGAGTTCTCTCGATTAATTCAAGTACCCTAGCAGGAAGCAGTAGTTAGGGTTCCAATGTGATCCTTTTTGTTTAAATTTACAATTATTGCATTGAAATTTCATTGCTTTTTAGCTTAAGCAGCTTGAATTAGTGTAAAAAAATTTGAATTCTCTTGAATTGGTGTTAAATTGAATTAGCTCAAATGTCATGCTCTAATTTTCGACTTTTTCCCGGATTTAATGTTTCGCCGTTGTTTTTTGTTCATGTATATTGAGAACGATTGTGTTGTCCAAAGCAGTAAAAATGGGAAGCGAGAGTAATCTGAAGACGTGGGTATCCGATAAGCTAATGACGTTGCTCGAAGACATATGCTCTTTTGGATGCAGATGGTGACGACGACGATGATGGAGGTAGATCATCTGTTCCTGTTGTTTCAGAGTCAAGGAAACCAGATTCCCATAAGAAGCGGTATAGGAAGAAGATTTTGAGTCAAGAAGATGACAATGATGAGGTTAAGCCTTTGAACTTTTGTAATATAGTATTCTGTTTTTGTTTCTCAGGGTAATTGCTGTTTTAACGTAGTGCAATGCTGCAGCTGATTGCACAGAGAGGAAGAAAAGAGAAGGGTAAATATGATGGGCCAAGTTGTGGATGCGGGTGCCTTCAATCTTGATGGGGTCACTATTTCGTTTGCTGAAGCGATGGGCTTAAAAAGAAGGATTCAAGTTTGCTCGGTCCAAGGGCCTCCAAAAGGTGATGATAAGAGGGAGACTCCAAGCTTGTTATTGAGGCGGTTCAAAGAAATTGGGAGGTTCCTTGGAAGATTAGAACCATCATTGAGGATGCACGTGGTATTGCTTGCTCCTTTTAGTCAAGTGGCGTGGAACCATATCTGCCAGGGAGGCAAATTTGTCGCGGATGCCTTAGCTCACTTGGGTCTTTCGGTTGAGACTCCTCACATTTGGGATCATGGCTTACCCTCTATTGCTCTAAATGCTTTTAGTTTTGACAGTATTAGAAACGGTTGTTCTCGTGGTTTTTCCCTTTAATGAATTTTTTCCAAAGTTCAGGTACTAAATTTCTTGCAGAAATCTGATTTAGTGAAATTAAATATGAATTACGAAGCGTGCTTAGAAGGAATTAATCATAATTAAGAAGATTGATTATGTGGTAATTAGATATTAGTTAATCTATCAGCCCTGTTTTGTTTTCCGTATCAGATTATCATTGTGTCTAGTATAAGGTAACATCTCAGATTTTCTAGCTTAGTCCCCTGACTTGTTCTATCATCCTTTGGTATTCGGATCTCCAAGAGTACCCAGAATACGAAGCATACACAACTCTGGTGCTCTTTTGTGATGATTGGCTCAACATGTATCTTTCACAATACACAACTCTGGTGCTCTTTTGTGATGATTGGCTCAACATGTATCTTTCACAATTATCACATGCATAAGGATCCCAACATTTACTCAGAAAATAACGAAATAAGTTGCTCAAATGTTCCCGGCTTTGCAGCTTTTTTTGTGTTGAATGGTTGGACTGCATTCAAGAACCAAATGAGATTATCTCTGGGCCTAGCGGATGGTATCATCAAGTCCATAATTTGGTATTTCTTCAAGTTTGTTTCGCCCTATCATAAAGTACAAGTATGAAAGCATGCAATGATTATAAGAGGTTTTCCAAGTAAATCACTCTCCATTTGCAGTGTGACCTTTCTTGCCAGTATAACAGAAAACTTATAGCAGTATGTGCCTTCTGCTTAGCATTTTACGTTTGCCTTCGGCTGATTGACATGGACTTGGCCCTGCTTGTTTCTTGATCTCAATATCCAGAATCTTGTTTTATCTCAAAACTTCATCTAGCGTAAATCAAGTTGTCTTTTCAGCCTCTTGCAACCCTTTCTTTTCAATCAAAATAAAGAGGGTAAAGTACAAAAAAAACTACGTCAACTATTAGTGTCACAACACTTTCATACCTCATCTTTTAAAATTGACAATATCATACCTCATCTTTACAATTTGTGTCAATATCATACATCCGTCAGTTTTTCTATTAAATGCTGACCTGACTACATGCAAGATCCACTCACTAATAATTAAATATATTTTTAATAATTAAAAATTAAAAAAATAATTTTTTTTTAAACTCTCTCCCCTCTCTTCCCATTTTTAATAGAAAGTTGTCCCTCCCCTTCTCTCTCTTCCCTTCCTGCAACCCAGACAGAAAGAGGAAGAAGAAGGACAAAAAAGAAAAAAAAAATACCCAACCCAATTCATCCCCCCCCCCCACCCACATACAAACCCAAAAAGAAGAAGGAAAAAAAAAGACACCCAAACTGTTACTTCCTTGCAGTGATTTGGGTTATTATTGTATCTTTGCTATCTTGCCTCACTCTCATTCTCTCCCAGACTAAAGTACAAATTAATGGCTGCTTCCCAACCCCCCAGGAGGCGGCGTTACTGAAAGCTTCCCAAAGGTATGCTTGTTGGTTTTCTCTTTTTATTTATATTATATGTATGGGTACCGTATTTAATCTTAATTGTCTTTGTCCAGATGAAACAACATGAAGATTATGCTAGGGCTGAGGTCCTTAGTCTTCAGAGAAAGGTTTGCACCTTCCTTCTGGTTTTTATTACCTTCAGCATGATCATTTTGTTCATAATTACACTCTGTCAGGACCCATATTAAGGGCATACTGACAGTCTTCAACCTCTTTTTTAGGCTGTAGAGCTTCACACAAAGATAAGCAAGGTGAAGATGTGGACGAACTACACACCCAAAAACAATTGATAACAAAAATTTGGCTAGAAAGGTAAAGCAACATTCTTGTTTTTTCTTCTTTCAGATTTGAGGAGTGGAGGTTACCGTTAGCATTCATTTTTCTTTTCCTTTAATCCCTTCCCCATTTGAAAAAAAAAAAAAGAATTTGATCTTCTGGGTTGTAAGCTTGGACCATCAGAATGGGAAGTCAGAAGCCCAACTTTGTGAATCATGTGGATTGGGGGTCTTTAATGCCACCGTTGAAGTATCAGGGAGATACCAACTTATGGTTTGGCGTACTCGACAACAACGTGTGCAAAGGCCCTATGCTTCATTGAGACCGGAAAGCACATATCAGTGGACATTACTAGCATGATCGAGAGTTCCAAGGACACCATGTCACCAGATGGCACGAATTTTCCTGAGAGTGGCTTCTTAGCAATGGCAAAGGGTGCCCTTTGTCAGCAGGGCTGGCCCCCAAGGTAAATCTATTTGCATATTCTTCGTAAAATAAATTATTAAATTTTGGATGTTGATAATAAGTTGGTTTTGTTTCCAAGGTAAGGAAGAAGTTAAGAAATTGTTGGGCGAACAAGAGATGAAAAATGCACTTGATTTTGGCCCATTATGGATTGGCATCCATGCATGCTATCGTATGTGAAGGTATTGCCTTGTTACTCTCTCTTTTTTGAATATTATTAGTGTAAAACTTTAACTTGTATATGGGTAGGCTCTAATGAAAGTTTAGAGATTTGGGTTTTTGTATATATTCAAGGTTGTGGATTTTCTAGGAGTTAGACGATAAAAAAGGGCAAGACTTTAGGAATAGTTGAGCTATATTGTGCCTTGTCTTTGATTTAAGAGTGTTGGGTGAATTTTGTGGGGGCTAGGTAATAGAAATGCGTGAATAAATGAGAGGTGAGAGACGTGGTAAAGTGAGCTACAGACATGTCTCTAGAGATTTCAAAGTCGAGCAAAAGGTCTTCATTTTGAAGATGGGGATGCCATTTGTCTTACAATGCGCTTGGTGTTGAAATAATTCTAATAGAATTCTCTCGTTTAAACAATTTCAGGAGACCATTGTACCCCCACTGCCTTATGCACTAAATACGCGTGCGAGAATGAAGGGAAGGTTGTGATCAAGAGTTGTGACTTTTGTGGCTATGGATGTGGCTATGCAGACCTGATGCAAGCCGTATCCATAGCCACAAAATTAACAACTCTTGATCACAGCCTTCCCTTCATTCTCGCACGCGTATTTAGTGTATAACTCAATCCCATAAGGCATTGGGGGTTCAATGTTCTCCTGAAACTGTTTAAAAGAGAGAATTCTATCAGAATTATTTCAACACCAAGCGCAGTGTAAGACAAATGGCATCCCCATCTTCAAAATGAAGACCTTTTTGCTCGACTTTGAAATCTCTAGAGACATGTATGTAGCTCACTTTACCACTTCTCTCACCTCGCGCACCTCTCTCACCTCTCATTTATTCAATCATTTCTATTAACTAGCCCCCACAAAATTCACCCAACACTCTTAAACCAAAGACAAGGCACAACACAATATAGCTCAACTATTCTCATAGCCTTGCCCTTTTTTATCGTCCAATTCCTAGAAAATCCAACCTTGAATATATACAAAAACCCAAAACTCTAAACTTTCGTCAGAGCCTACCCATATACAAGCTAAAGTTTTACACTCATAATATTCAAAAAAAAGTGAGAGTAACAAGGCAATACCTTCGCATACGATAACATGCATGGATGCCAATCCATAATGGCACAAATTGGGCCAAAATCAAGTTTCTGTTTCATCTCTTGTTCGCCCAACAATTTCTTAACTTCACCTAAGAAAAACAAGCCTTCCTTACCCTGGAAACAAAACCAACTTATTATCAACATTCAAAATCCAAAATTTAATAATTTTTTTACGAAGAATATGCAAATAAATTTACCTTGGGGGGGCCAGCCCTGCTGACAAAGGGCACCCTTTGTCATTGCTAAGAAGCCACTCACAGGCAAATTCATGCCATCTGGTGACATGGTGTCCTTGGCACTCTTGATCATGATATTAATGTCCACTGATATACGTTCTCCGGTCTCAACGAAGTATAGGGCTTTTGCACACGTTGTTGTCGAGTACGCCCAACATAAGAGTTGGTATCTCCTTGATACTTCAACGGTGGCATTAAAGACCCCCAATCCACGTGATTCATAAAGTTGGGCTTCTGACTTCCCACTCTGACGGTCCAAGCCTACAACCCAGAAGATCGAATTATTTTTTTTTTTTTACAAATGGGGAAGGGATGAAAAGGATTAAAGGAAAAGAAAAATGAATGCCAACGGGAACCTCCACTCCTCAAATCTGGAAGGAGAAAAAACAAGAATGTTGCTTTACCTATCTAGCCAAATTCTTGTTATCAATTGTTTTTGGGTATGTTGGAGTGGGTGTGGTGTGGGTGTGGGTGTGTAGTTCGTCCACATCTTCACCTTGATTATCTTTGCGTGAAGCTCTGCAGCCTAAAAAAGAGGTTGAAGACTCTCAGTATGCCCTTAATATGGGTCCTGACAAAGAGTAATTATGAACAAAATGATCATGCTGAAGTTAATAAAAACCAAAGGGAGGGAGGGAAGGTGTAAACCTTTCTCTGAAGACTAAGGACCTCAACCCTAGCATACTTTTCATGTTGTTTCATCTGGACAAAGATGATTAAGATTAAATATGGTACCCATACATATAATATAAATAAATAAAAAGAGAAAACCAACAAGCATACCTTTGGGAAGCCTTCAGCAACCCCACCTCCTGTGGGGGGTGGGAAGCAACCATTAATTTGTATTTTAGCCTGGGAGAGAAGGATAGAGTGAGGTAAGATGGCAAAGATACAATAATAACCTAAATCATTGCAAGGAAGTAACAGTTTCATCATTAACATAATCAATCTGCCAATCCTAGAATCTGCCAATCTGCCTATTCTACTACACATGCGTGCAACAAAAATAAATTAAGTAACAACTCCAAAAGTACAAAAATAATTCAAACCGAGGACCGATCTCTTTATGACACGCCCCGATCCCGATATCCTCGAGACATCGGGATGGTCACGTGTTGGCCGACACCCGAGGGTGACGAAAGCCATTTATTGAATGCAATTGCTGAGAATAAGGAGTAAATAAGACTTATAAATATAACAGGACTATTGAATATGCATTTAAGGAACATGTTCAGAGCACATCTAATCTAGAATATTAAAGAAAAATAATATAAAATTAGATGAACAAAGAATGGGTCCTACACCGAGAGGACTCGAAGATACTGAAGCGGAAGTGCCTGGATGCCGGGATTGTACGCCTCGATTCTAAGTCCTGAAGGGGGCGCAAAACAAACATGAGTGGACCAATTTGATATAAATATAATAAAACAGTTATCAACATACTAACCTCCAGGTTTTATGAAAACACATATATAATGAAAAACATAGGTTTTCCGAAACCTAGCATGATGTGCAGTATCTCAAATTCATAACTTGTATATATAATAATCACTAGTGAATTGTCCGATAACCCCCAGGCCCCATGCCGGCTCCCCGTCTCTGTGCTAAATAGCCAGAGGAAACACACTCCAGGCCCTATGCCAACACCAAACCGTCACCCGGGACGGACCGGAATCTATTCCTACGTCCCGTAGCGGAAAGGACCACTAGGTAAGTACGAAACCATTGAACATATATATATTGAAAAACAACTTCATAGTATAAAGTCATCTATCATCTATACTATAAAGAGGTGTTCGAAACATGTTCTAAATATCATATCGTTATCCATCGGATATTCTATAAGAACATGGGTTATAGGAAAAATAGTAATAATTCAAAGTAGCCTCAGTAAGCATGTTATCTCAAAAAGTTTCATAAAACGTAATCATTAAATCACGCCTTTCATGTATGCATTTCTACTATTAAAACATGCTTTTGAAGGGGTCCACTTACAGTACTTAGCCGCCGAAGAGCCACGCAAACTAACGAACAAGAAAACGTCACCAATAATTGCCCCTAAGCACATAAAGGGTCCAATTAATAAAACTCTATTTTAACAATTGAATTTGGGAAAACGGACTACAAAAACAAATCCAGGACGTCGAAATTATGGCTGGTTTGGTATTGCTGTGCTTTGAAAAAAAGCTGCTGTGAGAATAAGCGGCTGTGCTGTGAGAATAAGCGGCTGTGAAATAAAGCCAGTAGAGTGTTTGGTAAACGTTTTTGTGAAAGTGCTTTTGAAAAAAAAAGCAGGATGATAGTGTGTCTTTTCATTAAAGGAGCATTGTAGCTCCGTGTGCTTTGAAAAAACTGGCTTTTTTTCAAAGCAGCAAATAGCAGCTTCAGCTTTTCCTTTGATTTTCAGCTTATTCTCACAGCAGCTTCCAAAATAAGCCATTTTTTTTCAGTTTACCAAACACAAAAATGACCCTCAGCTTTTTTTCACAGTGGCTTTTTTTAAAATCACCTCAATCCCAAACGGGGCCTTAGCCTAGGAGAGGTCCTGGACGAAATCCCAAAAGTCAACTCAAGAAGTCAACGTTGATCGATCAAAGTCAAAGTCAACGTCAATGTCAACGTCAAAGTCAAAGTCAACTCTGACCGTTGACTAGGTCAACAGTCAGAGTCAACTAGTCAAGGTCAAAGCCAGATTGGGCTTGGATTGGGTTGGGCTGAAAGGCCTTAAGGATTTTGGGTTTTATCTAAAGCTAATGGGTTTTGGGAAAAGGGCTGAAAGCCCACTTTATAATTGGCCCAAGGCCTTATTTCCTAAAACAGAAATTAAAATTAAATAAAAACCTTAAAAAGGTTTTTGGGTTGGGCTAGAGGGCTACGGGCCCTAAACATAATGGCCCGAAGGCCTTTGGGTCCTAAAACAATAACAAATAAACTAAAAACAATTAAAAGGATACAAATGGGCTAGGGCTTGGGCTCCCTCACCACACGGGCCTAAGGCGCTCTTGCTATAGGAACCGGCCTGGCCTCACCGGAGCACCACCACCGGAGCTTCACAGCTCCGGCCGACTTCCACACACAACCCTAGACTTCGATCAAGGTACCACAACGAAGAGCAAGACGAGGGGAGTATTTATATACCTTCCTTTCGTCGTGGAACGACCGGAGATGGCCGGAATAACCCCCGAGGTCGCCGGAGTTGGGTGTGCTTACACCCGGCTTCGATTTCGTCCTATAACCTCCAAATTTCACGAAATAAAACCAATTAAACCACAACCCACAAGATTCAAGGACGAAAAAGAGATAGTTAGGGGCTCACCTAACCGGAGATTGAAAAATCTCGCCGGAGTCCCTTTTTTCGGTTTCTGGGGTCGCGGGAACGAGAGGGAGAAAGAGAGTGAGAGCAGGACGAGGTGATGAAGGTGATGGGTCTTCCTTGCTGCGGTGCAATGGGTGCGTGTGTGTGCTTGCTGCGGTGCAGAGAAGCGAGAGCCGAGAGAGAGCCGAGAGGGACAGACAGAAGAAAGAAAAGAAAAGAAAAACAGAAAAGAAGAAGAAAGAAGGGAGTTCACGGGGGGAAAGAGAGAGAAGTGAGGTGAGTGCGGGGGATGCTGCCACGTGGCAGAGTGAGAAAGAAAGGAATCCATTTTCTGATTGGGTAGATAAAATGGGACAAAATTGATATATTTAAAATGTTTTGAGGTAATTACATACATATATCTTTATAATTAGGAGGCGGGTGTTACACTTTAAGCCTCAAATCTTATACAAAAATGCCGAAAATTCTCTCAACTAGCTTCTGCCTTATTCCTCTTCAAACAAACTAAGCTTATATAATCTACTCATGATACTCATTCCCTCCCTCCCTACTGCACTTCATATATCAATTAAGACAAAACAGAAAACCACCGAGATTTTGGAACTTTAAAGCAACCCATCTATATTGTAAATTATCGAATTGGACAGAATTAAAACTTTGAAGCAGAGAAAAAAGGGGAAGAATCTTACGTCTCAAATCTTATACAAAAATGCCGGAAATTCTCTCAACTAGCTTCTGCCTTATTCCTACTGCATTGAACCAGAATCTTCACAAATACTTTGAATCTCAAGAGTCAAAGATGGTCCAATCTGCAAAAACCCAAGAACCATTAGATCAATTAAATAGAATCTGTGAAACCAAAATTTCAAGAATTCGAAAATAAAATTTCACAAACCCTAATCTAGAATTCGAAAATTAAACTTCACAAACCCTAAATTAATTCCCATATTTACCTGATTTCAGGGAGAATCGATGCACAGTGCACTGGAGGAAGACTCTCAAACTTTGAGTGTCTGAATCTGAGAGTTGACGAACATATGCAAAGAGAAGAAGAGACAGAAAATGGATAGGGATGACTAATGGCTTGTGATTGGGTTGCTGACAACGAGAAAGGAGAAAAAAAAAATTGCAGAGGAAGAAGATGATGCAATGATAAAAAGATGAAAAGAATTTCAACCAAAAATTGATGAAGAAGAAATAATTTTGTAATTGTTTTAGTTAAAAAAGGATGATGTAGTATTTTCACGTCAAATTTTGGACTAAAATTCAATTCAAGGTTCAACCTTTGGCTATTTTTCCACATTCCCGAGCCGATTTAGTCTTCCTCCCTCCACATCTACAGTTGGCCTCTATCGTACTACACTCATCTCCCTACTGTCCATGCACGCACAAACAAATCTCAGCCCTCCGATTCAATAAAAGCCATGAATAAATCCATATACCATACAAACCCTAGCTATATATAATAATAATAATAATAATAACAAGTTATGAGTGCTTGCATGTTCTGTATCTGATTCCACTGACTCTTTTTGAGGGACAAGGATTGCATGCCCTCTCACTTTCGTGTCCTCGCGTGCCCTCCTATTTTGTGTGGTCACGTTTAAGCAACGTCAACATTTTATATTAATTTTTTATAAAGATAATAAGACAAAATTGAATAGTAATACAAAATGTTGACGTGACTTAACCGTGACCACACAAACAGAAAGGCACCAGAAGTAGGAGGGTAGACAATCATTGTCCCTTTTTGAGTGAATGTTTTACAGTTGCTGCCATATGTTTGTTCCTGTTACAAGTGATTACCACCTATTTGAAAAAGGTATTAGCCATTTTTTTTGGCCTATATTTTTTTTTTTAAATTATGTATATGTTTTGAATATTTTTTTGGTTTTGTAAGATGTGTAGGATTCGGAATAACATGGTTGAAAATTGGAATATGGCCAATTTGAATCAATGCTTGAAAAAAAAAAAAAAGCTTGGTAGCATGGGTGCAGGTTATTCAATAACACCATATTTCAAAATATTTTTAAATAAGTTGAGGTAATGGATGTTTAGAAAATACTAAGACCACTGAGATCTTCTTATTGATGTTTAGCCCGATTCTTATCTTCCTTTTCTGTTTAAAGTGACAAAAGACGACATTTTTTTCTGCATGAGAGCTTAAAATAAGCCTATGAGAGCTTTTATAATCGCTATCTGGTTATGATTGTGATGAAAAAGCTTGTCATATGATTGTGTCTCAATTGACTTATTGCCATTCAAAAGGGATCAACCTTTTATCATTGTTTTAACCATGCTATAGACTCCAAAACAAAACTTAGTTCTATGTTGCTTTATAAACATATACATACTTGTATTCACTTAATTCACCTATTATGAGTTGAGACCCCACACTTTTCAAATAGCAGCATTGAGTCTATTGACCATTCAAACAGAGTGAAAATTTGCTTTTAAGATGGTCTCATTTAGGGCTTAGAGTTGAGCTCTAAGGTCCAAACTTTAAAAAACACTTCAAACCCTAGTGTCTGATTCTGTGAATTCAGACTATTCAGTTCGAATGATATGTTTGAATACGAGGAAGTAATCCACATTCTGGCAACGTATAACATTGCAGAAATCTACCAACAACAACCTCTCTCTCTCTCTCTCTCTCTCTCTCTCTCTCTCTCTCTCACACACACACACACACACACTTAAGCTCTCTGTTTATTTGTGCTTGTGGGCGGATGGAACTTATACGTTCAACTTAGAAGGCTTTATTCCAAAACTCTGTCAGATAGCTCAAGAGCCGGGGGAAGATGAAAGGGCAAGTAATCTACGTTCAGCTGCACTCCAAGCCCTTTCTTCAATGGTACCCTTTTCATATTGTTTCTGTTATAAATTTGACACTACACCTTAGCAATATGTGAAATTCAAAATTCAAAATGAAACATGCTATGGGAGATGCTTATTACACTTTGGTTCGATCTTTTTTGTTTTTTTTTTGTTTTTTTTGTCTCTCTTTTTCTTGAACTTAGCAAATTTGTCCCCTTTACCATGCTGATATATCTCTGTTAGAAATTTATGCCATTCATAACATGTTTTCTCAATGCTCAGAACCTATATCTCTAATGCAAACTGAGTTTTCTAAATTTTATTTTGTAGGTTTGGTTTATGGGTGAGAACTCTCAGTCTCATATATCAGTCGAGTTCGATAGCGTAAGTACATTCAAAGTTTCTTAAATCTTGTTCCAAACTTTCAAGTAATCTTTGTATAGTTCTAGTTGACCTCAACGATAAATTAAAATCTATGCTTTAAAATTTTGCATTAACTATCAACTATTAACACCTGCCGGACGTTTTGATAATCATTTCATTTTTAGTTGTTAGTTTTCACATTTTGTGCTTGAGATATGAGGAAAGTTGTGGGGAGAAAGGAGGGATGGAGAAGGGTGGGTAAGAAATAAAGTACAATGAATGAAAGCAAAATCTTGTAGGGAGAACAGCTTAAAATGGTTTTTGGTTTTGGTTTTTAGGTTTCACTTTGTGTACCTTCCCTTATACATCTCTCCCACCATCCTTCCTCTACTTCTTCATCCCACCTTATCCCCATATACTTTTCCTATATCTCAAGCACACAAAGAGAAAATTAAAAACTAAAAACAAAATGGTTACCGGACGGGCCTCAAGAAGTTCCCATTTCTTTTCACAATCTTTCAGATGGTTAAAATCTTTTACCTGCCAGAGTATCATTTTATAATTATGAACTTATGAGCCATTACTAGCCTAGGGCTCCATTTTGATTGCCAATTTCAAATATGAGGGATTGCCAACTTTCACTACCCATTTCAATTAATGTTATAGGTTGAATTGAATGAATATACGATACAACAATAACAAAGCCTTATCCCACTAAGTGGGGTCGGCTGTATGAATCCTAGAAAGTCACTGCACTCGATTTTGCACAAGTCTTCCGTTTGCTCCAAGTGATTAAATATATGATAGCAATGTAAAAAAAAACTTGTACTTTTGAGCAAAAATAAATTAAATACATATTTCGAACGTTCATTATAACGAATGATATTAAAATCCTAATATTGCATTCAATCTAATAATTCGTATGGATCTGAAAAGTCTTGCTGATGCAGTAACGAGTAACCCTAACAAGTAACCTAAAAATCTTGGAATCCTTATAGATCAAAGAAAGATAGCTGGATTAAAAAACTCTTGTATGTGGTTGTTCTCTACAGTTGTTTTTCACAAAGTGCTGATGGATGTGATGTGACTCAGTCTTCCAACCCTTTTACTGTTGTCTAAATTTTCCGTATCCATTCTGAAAATGCTTTAGATTATTGTTTAATTAAGATCGCATCAGAAAATGATTATTTGATGAACTGTGTTCCTCTGGTTACAATTAGCAGAAACTAAACTACGGAGAGAGACAAATCCAATTAAAATAGGACAAAAAATTGATCTCAGAGAGTATAGATTTTAAACTAGTGTGGTTATTTTAATATTCCTCCATCTTTAGTGGAAAGTGACTAACTTTTCCTTCTTTCTTTTTATTAACTTTATTGCAAGCTACAATTATGTGTAAGTGCTGCACTGGTTTTTCTGTTTTAAGATTGTGTTACTCTTCACTCATTTACACCTCGAACTCATTCTTATGTTGCAGCTAGAACGAATGCTACCTTAAATCCTCTTGACATTATTCTTTTTCCCTATTAATATACAGATTGTTGCAGTTGTCTTGGAAAATTATGGAGGCTCAAATAAAACTACAGAGAACCTTGAAGGCTTAAAGAATCGGTGGGTGCAGGAAGTGCAAGGTAACGAGGGTCATGGTTCTTCTTCCCCAGATGTCACCATCAGGCTTACATCTTGGAGCACCCCTGTGGATGACAAAGGCGAACTAAATGTGACAGTGTATGTCTCTGTTGGCATGAGATTTTGTTGATGGCTTTACATGTTTGTCAACATGTCAATTCATTTCAATTATTAATGTTTGTTTTCTTATGCTATAGGGAAGATGCCAAGAACCCCTGCTTTTGGTCTAGGGTTTGCCTGCACAACATGGCCAAGCTAGCCAAGGAGGCTACAAACCCTGGTTTTTGCAAGATGAAATCCTATAATCCAAGGACTGGGATGGAGTCGTTGCTAATCACTCCCACCTCAAAGGCATCAGCAATGCAGAGGGCAGGTCGATCTGGTCGAACAGGTCCTGGAAAGTGCTACCGCTTATATACTGCCTACAATTATTACAATGATTTGGACGATAACACAGTACCAGAAGTGCAGAGGACTAATCTGGCAAATGTTGTGCTTTCGTTGAAGAGCCTTGGTATTCATGACTTGTTACATTTTGATTTTATGGACCCTCCACCATCTGAAGCATTGCTAAAAGCCCTGGAACTTTTATTTGCACTAAGTGCATTAAATAAGGTAGGTGATTTGACTAAAGTTGGTCGAAGGATGGCGTAGTTTCCACTTGACCCCATGCTACCTAAGATGATAGTTGCTTCTGATAAGTACAAGTGTTCAGACGAGATTATTTCCATTGCTGCCATGCTTTCCATTGGTAATTCAATCTTTTACCGTCCAAAGGACAAGCAAGTCCATGCCGACAATGCACGGTTGAATTTTCACACGGGGAACCTCGGAGATCACATTGCATTGCTTAAGGTATAGTTTCATCTTCTTTTACTATATAGTTTTGTTTCCATATTCCCTTTAGTGAACATGTCTGATGTTTAGGCCTTTAAACCATGACTTTGGGACTTGGGGGATGGGGGATGGGAAATGGTAAAGTTCATATTTCAAAGTTCATACTTTGAAGCTTTGCGGAATGAGGGACTCTTGGAGAGGGTGGAGATTGAGCTGGTTTCAAATATGAGTGATAACGAGACTATAAAGAAGGCCATTACATCTGGTAAATATGCCAATACTGTTAGCTGTAATGATTTAAAAAACGAAATCCTTGTTCATTTTACATGTGTTGATTGTTGAATTAAACTGTATTGGTTGCTATTTTTATCAGGCTTCTTCCCTCATTCCGCAAAGCTTCAAGAATGGATCTTATAGAACAGTCAAACGTCCGCCGACTGTCCATAGACACCCAAGCTCAGGGCTGTCACAGGTAAGGAGGAATTGCATTGTCCTTTTTGTTGCTTTCCGTATGAACTTAGTCTTTTGGATCACAATATCATCTCACTCATGCTATGTTATATTCCTAACACATTATTCTGCATCTGAACACATGTACATGATAACAATTACCGAAAATCCCTAGGATTTTGTATAATTTGGATGACCGTTAAGGGAATTTTTATGCATCTTATTGTATTTGGACGACAGATTTCATCTGATGCATTGCTTGATTACGTATTTATTTTTATTTCTCTTCAGGTGCATCCGAGATGGGTTATATACCATGAATTGGTACTTACGACCAAGGAATATATGAGACAGCTATCTGTCCCCTTTACCTTTCATTTGCATGATTGATATTTCGTATACGTTGTTTGCATTACGGCTAAAGCCTATAAATTAAATAGCAGGTGACGGAATTAAAGCGGGAGTGGTTAGTGGAAATTGCTCCGCATTATTACCAACTGAAGGATGTTGAAGATTGTACGATCTCTCTCTCTCTCTCTCTACAGTCTTATTCGTATATCGGATATCATTCGATTGTTCAAATTGCTGAATTATTTTTATCAATGGCAGCAACGTCAAAGAAAATGCCTCGTGGAGAAGGGCGCGCGCAAGGAGGCTGAGAATTTGAAGAACTGTATATATACATCACCGGTGGCTTGTCGAAGCCTGTAAGTACAATTTTGTGTACTAAACTGTGTACTTTATCAGGTAGTTGACACTCTAACGACTCGGGCATTTATAGAGATGGATCCTTTCGTAGTCACGGTACTGTGTTTACAGGAGAATCCGAGGATGTTCTTAGTCAGGTTACGATTTAGTTCGAGGTAGACGAGAATGCTTTGATCACATATATACTCTCAGGAATACAAACAGGGAACTTCTCTAAAAGTTATAATAATTGTAGCCTGTGTGATTTGCTCAACAGGCTGAGCTCAGGAGAGGATCCAAATCCTAATTTTCCTGCATGACATTATATGACTGGTTTGATATATCGTGACTTTGCGTCCTGAGTGGATCTGTGTATGCAAGTTGTTTTCTCTTTCAACGTGACCTCTGGTTTTCTACTTCTGCCTAATTGTGGTTGACCTTTGACTTTAATTTAATTAAATTCCTGCCTAAGTTAAAGGTCGGAGGCTACAAAGTCTGTTAAGGTTCCACACAATGTGTAGACTCCTGAGATTCGGCCACTTCGCCTAATTCAAACAAATATTGGTTGTTAATCACCATGGGGTGGCCCATTGGTTGGCGGATTTCAGACTCGTATTTCATTAAGTTCGATTCTTGTATTTCACAAGGCACGCTTTGAGTTCAATCTGGTGTTTGTGAATCATAAGACAGTGGCTAATAGAGAATGAAATGCCTCTGTGAGTCTTTCCGACCTTAGAAGAATGGACTGTCGTGACGAAATCACCAGTTAGTCTCTTTTTAAATAAAAAAAATGAAAAATATAGCGGTTACTTGCCAGAAAGAAGAAAATACTCGTCAACACATGCACGACTATTTCTAATATTTCCCTCCGATATAGCCAGTCAACCGTCCTTTGTAGAATTAACACTCATATTTGAGTAATGTTAGAATCAATCGTTCACTAAATTATCGATTTACTTGATCTAATAAAATTTTCTGTTTATTCTCATAAGGACCAAAGGATACCAAAAAAAAAAAAGTAATAATGTCACACTGTCTGAGACAACAGGAAAGTAAAAACATGAGGTGAAAAGAAGAAATTCAATGAATCACTTGTGCTCCTGCAGCTGCAAGAAAATCTCCACATCTTATGCCACAGCAGGCATGTCCTTGAGCCAAGAATCCAACGGCTTTCCGATCGAATACACGATGAATCCGATCTCTCTCAGCTTCCCAGCATCAACCACATTCCTCCCATCGAACAAAAATGCAGGCTTCTGCATGCTGTCGTAAATCTTCTTGTAATCGAGTGTCTTGAACTCGTCCCACTCGGTGAGAATGCAGATCCCATGAGCGCCCTTTGCTGCCTCGTAAGCGTCCCAAGCGACCCTCACTTCCTTGGCCGCGGCAGGGCTCATTGGCTGCAGATGAAGTGGATGGTCCCAATCAAACTTCTTCATCGAAAGATCCCTCCGAATCTGTTCCTCAGTAACCTGCAGATCATATATGCTCAAGTGCGCCTTGTCCCCCAACAGCCCGTTGCAAACATCAATGGCAGCGGTCTCCCTTGTGTCCCCGGTGTCTTTCTTGAATGCGAATCCAAGAATCGCAATCTTTTTACCCGAAACAGTGTTGAACATCGAAGAGACAACCCTGTTCACGAAGCGGCTCTTTTGGTAGTCGTTCACCTTGATCACTTGTTTCCAATAGTCTGCAACTTCAGGGAGGCCATTGCATTCACAGATGTAGACCAAGTTGAGAATGTCCTTCTGAAAGCAAGACCCGCCAAATCCAACGCTGGCATTGAGAAATTTCGGTCCAATTCTGGTGTCCTTGCCAACAGCATGGGAAACTTCAGAGATATTCGCTCCGGTGGCCTCACAGAGAGCTGACATTGCATTCACAGACGAGATCCTCTGCGCCAGGAAGGCGTTCGCGGCGAGCTTTGATAGCTCAGCTGACCACAGATTGGTTGTTATGATTCTGTCTTCCGGAACCCAATTCGCGTACACTGCCTTCAATGCCTGGATTGCCTTCTGGCCATCCGGGGTTTCCCTCCCTCCAATCAACACGCGGTCGGGCTTGAAAAGATCCTCAATTGCTGTCCCCTCGGCAAGAAACTCCGGGTTGGAGAGAATCTGGTACTTGATTCCCTTGCTATTATGTGCCAAAATCTTTTCAATCGCCTCGGCGGTTTTCACCGGGACAGTTGATTTCTCGACAACAATCTTGTCGGATTTTGAAACATCAGCGATCATTCGGGCTGCGCTTTCCCAGTATGTCAAGTCAGCAGCCTTGCCGGCTCCAAGACCCCTGGTTTTCGTTGGGGTGTTAACTGAAACGAAGATAATGTCCGCCTCAGCGACATGTTTTTCGACAGCAGTGCTGAAGAAGAGGTTCTTTCCTCTGCATTGCTTCACAATCTCATCAAGACCTGGCTCATAAATGGGGAGCTGGTCGCTGTTCCAGGCCGCGATTCTGGGCACGGAGATGTCCACCACCGCCACTTCGATGGCAGGGCACTTCAGGGCAATCACTGCCATTGTTGGACCCCCAACATAGCCAGCTCCAATGCAGCAGATCTTCACCATTTTTTTTCTTCTGTTAGAAGCATGAAACAAAGCAATCTGTCAAGAGAAAATAATGGGCGGCTTCCTCTACAAGAACAAGATTTATACTTTACACACTGGAAAATCAACAAGAATTTGCTCCACCACTTTGGTTCCTTGACAAGGCGATATTATAAACAACTCTTACCTACGGGTGAGGCGATTCAAACTTGGGTTCGATTGGACGGGACACATTACCTTGGCCAATTGACCTAACGTAGGTATGCAAGATCTAATCTATAATTTGGAAAAATTGGACCAAATCTAGAAAATAAGCAAATGGCGTTTTGGTGGAAAGAAATAATGCGTATGCACCTTGGCGTGAGTTTGATCTCTATTGATTTCCTCCCGCCTTACATTACTAATTTAACCTAATAACGCTACTAAATTTATAAAATGAAAAAGAAGTGTCCACAATTATAAGATGCCCAACTTTCTAAAAGCTATGGATGGCAAGATGGTAATAAAGAAAGTGATACTCTAAACTACTCTAATTTACGAGTTAGAGACTTAAACTCAGATGCAAAAGATAAACACGATACCTTAGCCAACTGACCTAATCTTGAGATTTGACCTTAAATTTGGCAAAACTTGACTAAATCTAGACAATGAAGGAACAGTGTCCACAATTTTTACATGACAAACTTGCTCAAAACTTTCTACCATGCAGAAAATTGTCATCAGTTGAGCATTTAAACATGCAAGAAAATGATGAAATACTTTAACCTAATTTACACAAGAAACCATGGCAGTACCTTGATAAGATTTCTGTAGCCTCAAAAATTGAAGCAAGAAATAAAGAGTAGAGAGAGAGAGAGAGAGAGAGAGAGAGAGAGAGAGAGAGAGAGAGAGAGAGAGAGAGAGCACAAACTAATGCAGGAAAGAAAGGGAGGAAAGAGGTGCCTAAATACCCAAAAGCACTAGTGAGATCTGCACCAATTATGTTACTTTTCACAAACCAAAGCAAAGTCAGATTAATGGAAAAGCTGGAACGGAGCATTCAACACGTTTCCAAACACCATCAGTAACAAACAAGGGAAATTCAGCCCACCCTTTTTTTCCCCTCTTTCAACTCAAACAACGAAAACTGCTTATCAAAAAGGCAGATTTCCAAGAGTACCCATGTCATTAAAACACAGATAAAAATTACGTCAATTGAAGAAAAAAACAGTTTTCTGGCATAAAAACAAGGGTTGGAATCAAGGGGTCTGACCAAACAGAACCCATAGAGTAACACTGCAACTGCGTTACAAATGGGTGATCAGAGTAAAAGCTGGACTTTACGCGTCATTGGTTCATGTGCCACTATACCATCATTAAACACCCCATGCCCCACGAGAAATATGCACAAACAGAATCGGTTACAAACTTTTAATTGAAGGGACGTGATTTTCACTAAGAGAATATGATTTCCATTGTTTCTTATTTTTAAGAACATTGTTTTTAGGTAGGGTTATCCATCCACACAGTTTTACTTCGGGACGAATAAATTGTCAAAAATTAATAAGGGTTCGTGAGAAATAAAATTGAGTATGAATAGCACTATCCTTGTATTTATCTAATTTCTAAAACTTGGATTTAATAAATCATAGAAACATAAATAGAAGCGTGCAAAAAGAGAAAGGTATGCGAAATAAGGACATGAATCAAACAATAAAAGGAGCAAAATCAAAATTTATATATGATTTAGGGTAAACTGTCGGTTTACCCCCTGAACTTTCACCTCACTTTCGATTTCCCCCTTGAACTTTTCTATTGGAAAATTAAGGACTCAAACTAATTTTTTAGCCAATTTGCCCCCTACCGTTAGTTTTTCATATATTCCATCCATATATCCGTTAAGTGAGATCATGTGCATAACATGTGAGGATAGTTAAGTCATTTCAATTTAAAAATGATTAAAAACTGAAAATAAATAATAATAATAATTTTCCCTCTATTTTTTCCCGCTAATTCCTATCCTCAATTTTAATTTTCCCTCTCATTCCTATGCATGAGAAATAACATATGGTGTTATTGTCTTCATAAGTAGCTAAGTTAATCTTTTTTTTGAAGCATGTACTACCGTTTTTATTTTCTCTAATAAATTAATAATTTGACAAATGCTCATGGTGTTATTGTCTCCAAAGCAATGCATTAATATAAGAAACATGTCCATAAAAAAGACTAGGGTTTCTTATATTAATGCACTGCTTTGGAGACAATAGCACCATTAGCATTTGTCAAATTATTAATTTGTTAGAGAAAATAAAAATGGTAGACAATAACACCATATGTCATTTCTCATGCATAGGAATGAGAGGGAAAAATAAAATCGAGGATAGGAATTAGCGGGAAACAATAGAGGGAAAGTTTTGGCTTTTTTATTATTTTCAGTTTTTTAATCATTTTAAGAATGAAATAACTTAACTACCCTCACATGTTGTGCATATGGTCTCACTTAACGGAAATATGGATGGAATATATGAAAAACTAACGGTAGGGGGCAAATTGGCTAAAAAAATTAGTTTGAGTCCTTAATTTTCCAATGGAAAAGTTCAGGGGGAAATCGAAAGTGAGGTGAAAATTCAGGGGGTAAACCGACAGTTTACTCTATGATTTATTGTCTGTTTAGCAACCCTTAATTTTATTTTTATTAAAAATTTGTAGTCGGTTCTATTTCAACGCATTAACCAAAAATCAAAGCATATAAAAAACAACTAAATTCAACAAACACGTCTTAGTTGGTACATTTCCATGGCATTTGGTCTACAAACCATTGGAGATTTAACAAATTATTAAACACCAAAATTTTACTAATCACCATAGCTGGTAATTAAAAGAGGAAGCTTCAAAGTGCAGAAAGGAAGGGATGTGTGCTGGTGTGGTGGGGCCCAGAGAATGTCTGAGTAAGATGAAGGCCATGGCGATTGCAATTAATATTAGCTTATATAAAATTGCAGAAAAGTGACAGACAACAACGACATTTGATGCGAAAGACAATTAACAAATGAGATTAACGTGTTCGTACCTCAGAAGATGCCCACAAATCAGCACAAAGAAAAAGAAACAAAAAAGTTCGATGACAAAGTGTGAAATAAGATCGAACTCGATAGTTATAAAGCAAAAAAAAAAAAGTGCGTCAGGTAGTCGACATACTGGATTTTGGTTTAGAGGGTGCAAAGATTATGCAACCAGAGGCAGAGGAGATGTGAATTATCGTAAGCAACAAAAGGTGTTATATACGCATCAGGATTTTGCATATTTATTTATTTACTTAATTAACAGGATTTGCGTATTAACTATTAACGTGTACAGCCTATTTGGAAATGGTGAAGTGGCCATGAGATTATCCACCGATAATTATTTTATGAAAAAAATTTCGCTAAATTGAGGGTATTTTTGTCAATCAACTCTTCCACTTGAACTAGTGATTTCTTCGATTTGATGGAGATTTTTCACAGAATAACCAAAATGATTTACGGTAGATAATCTGAATGACAACTTCTGTCGATTTTAAATTTCAGAGATAAAATAAAGAATTTATGTCAATCTCAAGAATTATTTTGGTTGAAAAGCCATTTGTGTATACTTGACATCACATCAAAATTAGGAGAGAAAGTTATTTATAAGTGGGACGTCACGGTGACAGGAAAACACGTCTTAGTTGTAGGAATGATTCTTTTAAGCAATAATATTGTTTAGATACACAAAATTGATACATTTTTAAATAATACAACCAAAATTGTATATTTAACAAGAAACTCATTCATATTAGTGTGAGTTTTGTGTATCTAGAGTCTATGGCTAACATTACTTCCTTCTAAATAAGTTCCAATAAATACTCTATTTTGCATTAGATGAGGCACACAAAATAATCAAAATTTACCAGAATGTCATAAATGTGGTGGTTAAGTTTTGACTTTATAATAATTTTGGCTCATTGAGAGAGACTCTGTTGGGGGTGGGGTGGGGTGGTGAGACTAAAATAAAGACGGATTTAAAATTTTTGAGAGATTCAAAGGGTGTGACAACAAATCCGTTAGTTTTGTGAGAGATCATAAGCTTGATTCTCATCAAAAGTGAATTTGAACCAAATTATTGTTAGCATATTGTGAGGCTTAGGCCACTCCCCCATCCTCTTAGTGTAGATGATATTGTTTGTTCAAAAAAAAAAACACATTACTCTCTTTTTCACATATTTTGTAATAATTTTATGACACCGAGTGTGCGAGTGAGACCAAAATACATGCTCTTTATAAATTTATCCTCTATTTGGATGAGGGGAATAAATTTAAAATTTGGACAAAAGTTCTTAAATTGAAATGACTGTTTCTCTTGTTCGGATTTATAATCATAGAAATTTAGAATTTCTCTGTGAAAATAAAACTTAAAATTTGGAGGTAACAATTCGCAACTTGAAATTTCATGTAAATAGTTGTTATTTATTAATTTTCACAAGGAAGAGTTTGTTATTTTCCATTTATCAATTGACACATTAAATTTTGTACATAAATTTCATTATAGTTTTACTGTAGCCAAACAAGAAACTTCACAATTTTTAAGAAATTAAATTTCATTATTTCAAATTCCATAATTTGATTTTTCTTAGCAATTTTAAATTTTCTTATCCAAATATATGGTTAAAGAATTTATGTTTTTCCCAATCAATGTTACCTTTTATTTTTTTTTGGTCAAACGAGTAATACCTTATGAAGAGTAGTTTTTTTTTTTTTTTTTTTCTAGAGAATGTATGTTGCTTTCTTCTTTTTCAGTTCTAAACAATCATGGGATATGAATATGATTTGTGTTATGGATGCATTGTTTGAAAGTCCATAAAAATTTAAGAAATTCAAATAAATTAACATGCATTGTTTAGGCTTGCAATTGATAATTTGAAATCTAAATGCTATAAGTAAGTGTCAATGAGTTTTGTAAATAAGGGTGGACCTATTTATGACTGATTTTAATTTACATTTTCTTTTTCTACGAACATTCAACTAGCTATTGATTCGGTTATATTTTTCTTTTTAACTTGAATTAATAAGTAAATGTAAATAAAGAATATCTTAAAGAAAGAAAAATACTTTTAATATTTTTAAAAGAAAAAGTAGATCTAAGCTTTAAGTTTCACTTGATTTATAAGAATATACATATGGCAAAGTCATGAGGGCACTGACATGCATGTCTCTCAAATACTTTATGTTACTTGCCAAAAGTCAATACTTGGATGTTAGAAGAGAGTTGAGTATAGAATTTACTCCACCAATACAGTTTAATTAGATCCTTCGCTTAAGATTATTTTGTAAAGAAGAGTGCTGTTATTTCAATCTCACTGTATCTTCCGCGTACTTTTTAATGAAAATTTTAATTACAAGTTTGCTCATTTGTAAAATAACAAATAAGGACCTTAAAAGATATATAATAATAATCGGTTAGGTGCGAAGAGGTAACATGAGTCCTAGACTTACATTGGGCAGTGAAAAGAATAGGCAATATGTAAGTTGAATTGGGAAAAGAAAAATGTAAAAAGTGGGGATAGAAGGAATTTTGAAACAAAAAATTGCGGATGCCCAATTAAAGGGTACTAAGAAGCTAGGAACTAATGAGTATTGGATATTGATGGTAGTTATTATAGTACATAATCACACAGTACTTGAGTATTTGGAGGGTTATTCATTTACGTGTAGATTATCATAGGATGAGTTTTCGTTGGTGAGGAAATAGCATTTTTTATTTTTTA